ATCTCCAGGTGAAAAGGAGGTGGCCAAATCTGCACCAGAGAAAAGGAACACAAGCCGAGCCGCATAATTATTGGGAAGCACTTTTGTCGGCACTCGAATCGTTTGAAGTGAGCAGCGCAGCTCCTTAGCCGCTTATCTTGGCCAGAAATTTAACAGAATCCTGTGGCCATGTGTGTCCCTTCACATGTGCTTTAATTTGGCCCGAATGGAGTGTCAATTTACCACCGATATGTGGCATATGTAGACCAAGCCGAATAGGAACGCCTTACTGGGAATACTTAAGGGTTATCAGCCGGCGGATCTGGAAAAGTGTGCCAGTAGCCGGGAAAAAGATAGGAAGTCTTCCGGTTTCGCTAAAAATATGCTATTTACCGCCCTCGAATCCCTTCTTTGGCCTGGGGACTTAATAAACGTGGCCAATAATGTCGTGCACAAAAATGTTGGGATACCAAACTTGGCTGGGCATATTTATATGCGGTTCGAGTCCTTCGTCCTCCCTACTCCTTCCCCACAAGTATCACTTCCCCATCCATTTCGCCCCCTCCTGCTATATTAGATTATGAAACTAAATGTCAAACAAGCCTTGGCCCGTCTCCTTTCGCAGTTGTTTGATTACGTCCACAAACAGTCAAGGATATTGGATAATTCTGTCTGTGCGCCGAAGTATCCGTATTCATTTGTCTCTGTGTGTGTGTGTGTGAGCTTGTGTGGGTGTGGGTGTTGCCTGAACTGCGGTTGCTAGCCAACCTCAGCAGTTGCTCATTTGCCGCCGCATATTACATTTTCCCAGGCAGCAATTGCGGGCTCCAACTACTGCAAACTATAAACTATCCGCAGCCGGAGGAGTTGGGAAATCGGTTTACGTTGCCTTTTTCCTGCCTGCCATGAGGAAAGTTTATCGGAATGGCGAAGGACATCTGCTGCATATTTGTATATTGCCTAATTACTTTATCGGCAAAATAATGTAATTAAATGTAAAATGTGTAATGGTTGCGATTATGTTTACAAATCGAAATCATCAACATTCGTTTAATATTGAAGGATTTTGAGAAGCACTAGTTATTTATATGTATATTGTTCATCGACTATCATATTTAATTAATAAATAGATATCCTGAAGTGATATAGAAGTATATCTCCCAACCAAAATCTCATAACAAATTTTTGGAATTCTGGTTCAGTTTGCGAGTTTTAAAAACTTACAATTTGTCTGAAAGAGCGCACTTTCCTCTTTCAATTTCAGAATTTTAAGAAATTATTTAATTTGATCTTAAGAAAAACGAAAACATCATAGTAACTTAAAATCCAATACTCGAAGTATTTTTTGAGAAAATAAAAAGTTTATATAATATTGTAATAAAGAAAGTTGTCCTTCATATCCTTGATCCCTTTCCCTGCTAATTGCAAAAGTCAATCGTTTTTTCCGCTCCCCAAAAAAGCGCTCGTCACGTTGTCAGTAGCAGGCATGAGCCAAGCCCCTCTTCGGTGGCAAGTTAAAACTCGAAATTAAATATCCCAGCCATAAGAAAAGCTATCAGTTCACCTCCAACCCATCCACTAACCAGTTACTAACCCCCAGGCCGTCTTCCATTCTCGCCGTGCCCCCAAGGAACGGGAAGAATATCCGGTAGACAATGGCAGGCAGACTGTAAGTAGACGAAAACTTTTTAGTTGGATTATGTGGAGGGTAAGAATGAACGCACACACACACACACACACACACCCATACCCATACACACACACTCTCACAGATTGTTGCCCCCCTTCGCTACTTTGCACCCACACAACGAGCGAAATTCATTTTATTACTTTGATATATTAGATTTAATGGTTAAGAAAAATGTTGCCGGCAGCATCAACGTATTTCCCTTCCCCTTCGGAAAGAGCTTTTCATCCCCCCCAACCCCCTCACTGCTCTATTGTGGAAAAGTGGGTGTTTGTGGGTTGTTGTCGTCGTCGCAGTTAACCTTATTAAAAGGTGAACACAGTCATGGCACCAGAGAGAATTGCCACAATGTGTTTACATGCAGCTGCTGCGAAACGGGGGGCGGAGTGGGTGGGAAGATGGGGTTTTTCCAGGAGGGGGTAACACGATAATGACCTCGTTGCCGTTTCTCCCCCGAGTGTGGGTGAAATGCTGGGACATCCAATGAGGTTTCACCTGCGCTGCGCATGTCCCGAGAGAATCTCTTTTTGTGGCGGAGAGAATCGTTAGAGAGATACTTTGGAGAACTCTCAGCTATTAGCCATCATCATTCCCCCACTGCCCTCCATTTATAGCCTCAATTGATGTGCTAATTTAGAAATTACAATGAAGTGCAGTCTTCAATGAGTTTGAGTTTGAGTTTGGCTTTGATTCAATTTGTCATTTCACACTTGGCCTAAATGGCTTTTGGTTACAAGGGATGGGTTTTGTAAGAATAGCTCCTCCAGCTAAATTAACTGAAAGTGTTCGAGAGAAAATGCAATTGGGCTTGCTACGAAAAGGGGTTCAGAGGCTGCGAAATATTGATTCTTCGTGCAAGAAGTTGTATCTTGTAATATAGTAGAGTATCTTATAGATTGATTCCTGCAAAGCTGATGAAGTGTTCGAATTGAAAATACTGCTTAAAATTGTGGCATGAGGTGAAACTCTTGAAAAAAATTATTATTATAAAAAAATTATTTAGTTGAGGGAAAACATTATATTTAATAAAAATGTTTAGCTTTTAAAACAAACAGTTTCTATTAAATATTTCTGATCGTTCTTCTCAAATCTGAATTATTTAAGTATATCTAGATTAGGTTACAGATTAGAAAACAAATTATACAATTTATGATATCTGGCATCTTGACTGATGTTAAGTGGGGCAATCAGCTATCTCTTGGATAAAAAGAGGCATGTCCTGGGCTGAACCGAGGATCGGTAATTAGTGCCACAATCTAGCAACCTCCACTTCTACCTTTTTTGGCTGGTTAGCAGTCCTCATGAGCCACGATTACGCTAAGGCTAAGTGCGCTGATGATGCTGCATAAATTTCGTGGCCTGCGTTCTGTATTCCACATTAGATCAGAGATTACGTGGCCTCAGATCTCGGTAGGTAGCCACTCCTAATTCCCGAGATGCCCTCTGCAGCTCTAAATTAAACGAACGTGCAATCGGATTTCTGAATGAAATCTGCATAGGGAATGAGTCCTATGAAAATATGATTAAGCGCCTGGGCAGACTAACCCTAATCCGAGATATAGGTTTCTATTCGAACCGATGGCCTGCGTCCTGAATCCTGAATCCTGAATCCCGTGTCCTGTGGCGTCATGCATCTGGCACATTAATGAGTCCGGTCAACGGCAGCTTTGTCTCGCTTACTTGTTCGCAGTTCTGCGGAAATTACGTGTTCATTTTCCAGATTTTCTCGGCGGAAGGTGCCGCGATCTTTGGCTTTGTTTGGGTTCGGGGCACAAAGGAATTGTGTAAGTTTCAACAAATTAGAGAACATAAATCCAGGTGCCCGCTTTGTTATCATTGTAAGCGGCGTTTTGGCTCATCTCACACACTCGAGACATTAGAGGTTTTTTTCTGGAACCACTTTGGCCATTTTTCAGCGTCCTTTTGTGTTATGCAACCTGTGGGTGGACCAGAGAGTCCGGCAAAGCTTGGATGGAAATGGCCCTTTTTAAGCTGATGCTCAACTTAAATCTTAAGTCCCAGGTTGCAGTATGTGATTCAACCAAGGCTGAACCATTTTCTTTAATCATGGCAAAACTAGTGCTTTACATATGTTTTAATTTTTCTGATGGTTCTCAGAAAAAAATTAGCTGCTTTTAAGGCACTGCCAGAAATTCTGTTGAAAGAAAATGGAGGAGTATCTATATCTACATAGCCAAGGATAAGTCAGTTTTGTTTATTAAATCGTTAAAGAACTAAAACAAGTATTTTGCCAATTTTACAAACAATTTTTAATGCATTATTTTTAAAAATTTGTTTAAAAATACTCTGAAAATATTTTTACTATATAAAGCACTCAATGTTTTGATTCATTAAAATGTTTTTATTCAACATTTTAATTTTAATTACAGGTATTAACAATTAAAGTACACAGGTAAAGTAGTTCTCTAAATAATATTGTTTTGACACCGCGAATCAGTGTCAAACTGTACCTGTTTTCGATCCTTTTAACCCCATTCAGAACGCGGAAGATCCGGCCAGATAAGATCAGTTTAATCAATGAACTTAGGGTCAGATCCTGCGACAACTCCTTGCTAAGTAACGGGATTCATTGATCGTTTGGATTGTTCAATGAAACCTCGGGCTCATTCCGCCAATCGAGAGATCATCGTGATCCTCGCCATAAAATCTATCGCCGAAATGGAAGCGGAACTAATAAAGGAGCTAAATGGCAAATGGCCGACATGATTCAGGTACCTGGTAGGAAATCCTGCTAGTTGTTCAACCTGTTTTGTGATTTGTGGATGAGCCGGGCAGGGGAAGGGTGTTTTCGACCAGCGAGAGAGATAGATGGATATAATGAAAGAGATAGAGAGGGTGAGATACTTTTTAACAAGCGAAATTTGTGAAATAAATAAAATTAATGAGCAAACCAAGCTAGTTAGTTGCAACTAATGCAAGAGGCTACAAAAGAGAAAGGTGTCAGGGGAAAGTAGTAGAGAGAACTCATTCCGAGAGAGAGAGAGAGAGAGAGAGAGGGCCAACACCCCTTAGCCAAAAAGCTACCTGCAACTCACACACGAGCCACAAGCGAACCAACCCAACACAGATAAGGATACTCAGATACTCAGTTACTGAGTTACTGAGATACTGAGATACTGAGATACCGGTGGGAAACTACCCCTGGTGATGGAGAGCGAGAGCGAGCGAGACGGGCTGACTGGCGGGCAGGACATGGGCGAAGGCGAAGGACCGGGATTCGAGAGCGAGCCTCGCCCATTTCACTTGCAATCAGCCAACGGTTCGTGGACGTATTTAAACCCACTTTCCGCAGGAGTCGCACTCAGTCGGTGGTTGTTGATCGTCACGAGCAGTCGATTCAGCTCATTGAAGTTCGTCGCAGTGGCTGTGAAATCCAAATCAAATCGAATCCTCGACTAACCCAATAATTGCAATTAATTAAGAAATTTTCGGTGCGTGTTTGTTGCTTCCGTTGTGACAATAATTAAAAGCTTCCAAACTAATTCTGTAAGAACGCAAGAATTAATTAAGAAAAAGTGTGCAAAACTATTTAGTAGTAAATCTTAACGGTTTGTGAGCTCTGCCGGTGGAGCTATGATGACCACGACGACCTCGCAGCACCACCAGCACCACCCAATCATGCCGCCAGCCATGCGCCCCGCCCCCGTTCAGGAGAGTCCTGTCTCACGCCCCCGCGCCGTCTACAGCATCGATCAGATCCTGGGCAACCAGCACCAGATCAAGCGCAGTGGTGAGTTTAGCCGAATTAAAAACATTGAGTAAAAACTATATACTTAAAAGTGGAATGGTTGTCTGAAAGTCGAAGATTGCCGTCGGCGTTCTGAAAAGGGTTCTGAAACGTTTTAAAAAATATTGAGTTCACTATAAGTAACTCGTTTCTAAGCAAACGCAAGCTTTTTGAATCATTAAACCAATTTTTATTGAACCTTGGTTGTTGAAAAACACAAATTTGTTTTTCGGTTAATGTTATAACTACATATCCTACTTAAAATAATAAGTGTAAAAGAAATTGTTGTAACCTTTTTCGGGTAATTTAAAAGTAGACATTGCAAAACATATTACAAAAACTGTAGGGCCATTTAAAATTTTGTTTGTTAAAATCATATAAATCTGATCTTAACTTGAATATTTTATTTATTTTACTTATGAGCGATTTTGCACTTCAGGACTGTTTAGATTTGTAATGTTATTAGACATTGATTATCCGCCCATCATAAACATAATTAAAACACCCTGACAAGGACATAACTTACCACCAGCTGGGCAAGAAATTAAGCTAGACTCCATTCAAATTCGATAAGGTCCCCGGAAATCCCACTCCATAATGAGACCCCGGCTCCACTCCACCGTTGACCACATCAAAAAGATCCTTTCAAGCGGCCATAGCGAAGTGGGGAGACCGAGTGACACCGCCACCGGTGCCACATGGTTTTCCATCTCGTATGCAAATTGCCCGTAAAGGACATTCTATCATAGTTAGTGAGAGGGTAGGGCAAAAACTTTCCGGCAAACACCGACCTCGAACTCCACCCAGAGCAAAAAAAGGAAACATATCATGACAATGGGAGGTGTTCGGCATGTCGGAACTCTTGTTTGGGGGCGTGGCCAAGCTGCAGGAGGCACTTCACCCAAGGATCCCCGAAAGAAAAAAGAGAAGAAAAAAAAACACTGTGTATCAAAACATATCTGGCCGGATATAAAATCCGTGGAGGGGGATAAAAGCAATTGCGTCATTAGACCCGTAATTAGATTGAAGTTCTTGGGCGTGCGAGTGTATCAGGGATCAGGGACTAAATTGCCCGGCAGGATTTTCGGAATCACGACACCCATTGGTCCAGGTTGCAATTTGGCGAGAACGAGCGGCGTGCGCACCGCAGGACACTGCATCCTGTGAGCCTCGTAATTTGATGCTCGCTGGAAATTACCTTTTCGCCACAACAGGCTGCGTAAATGTTACGAAATACGATAAGGATACATCGAGACCGGGGACGTATCCTGCTGAGCAGGGACGTGTTCTGGTGCCATTGTGAATCCGATTAATTTGAGGTTCATTAAAGTTTGATTACACGTTTTTTGCTGGCTCTGAAAGGAAACGTTTTGGCTATTCAAAAATGAAAAACCCAACTTGCCTTCGGGTCGTGTGAAAGGATATTTATATATGCTTGCCAAACTTTTTTTTCCTTGCTTTTTATATTTATTTGTTATTGATTGCCAAATCAATTTGCGTAGCTTTCGAGCACTTGAAGGATTTGATTTTTTCGAGACTGCGAGCGGAGAATAAAAAGGGGGTTAAAATCCAGGATATAACTACTTCAGTTACAATTGAGTGAATTTCAATTTCTGCAGCTGCCGTTTGGCTTTTGCGATTCTCAAAGTCAAACGCGAAACTTTTTGTTTCGCCGCACTCGAGTTCAATTGGAAATTGTTTAACTTTGCCCTCCGCCCCCCCGTTTTAGATACTCCCAGCGAGGTGCTGATTACGCATCCCCACCACGCTCATCCCCATCACATCCACCATTTGCACGGCAGCAACAGCAACGGCAATGGGAGCAATCATCTGTCGCAGCAGCAGCAACACCACCAGCAGCATCAGCAACACCAGCAGCAGCAACAGCAGCAGCATCAGCAGCAGCAGCAGCAACAATTGCAGGTTCAGGCGAAGCGGGAGGACTCCCCAACGAACACGGACGGCGGACTCGACGTGGATAACGATGACGAGCTGTCCTCCAGTCTGAACAATGGCCATGATCTCAGCGACATGGAGAGGCCGCGAAAAGTTCGAAGGTGAGTGCAGCAGCGGCAATCCGCTTAGCAGATCAAATCGTATTTACCCATTGTCGGGCTATTAAAAAGCATCCAAACAAAGGGGAAAATTCTGTTATCTGATGTGTATAACAACCATCTAACGAACCGCCGTTGCCTGCCTTGATTTTTCACAGATCTCGCACAACATTTACAACGTTTCAATTGCATCAGCTGGAGCGAGCCTTCGAGAAGACCCAATATCCCGACGTTTTCACAAGGGAGGATCTCGCCATGCGCTTGGATTTGAGCGAAGCACGCGTGCAGGTAATTGAAAATGGATTTCCATTCGCGCAATTATTTTCGAATTAAGTTGCACTAGCAAAGAACTAGAACTAGAAGCTTCTTCGTTTGGAAAACTTGGCAATGCCAAATAACAAGCGAATAAACCACTTTTAGGGTCTGGGAACTTGAATGAGCGAGATAAAGCCGTGAAACAATCGCCGAACCCAATTTGTAAATGGTCTTTGGAACACTTAAACCCCACTTTGTATACAAACACGATTAGATATAGTCGGAGGGTTGATGTCGTTGCGTCCCTTTTTTTAGGGGTTGGCCCAAGGACATTAGATATTGTGATTTTTCAAATGATTAAATTGGCCGCGCTCACATGGTGTTGGTATTTTTATTAACTCTACTTTTGGGTAAACAATTAAAGTGGCTTTGGGTGGCTGTCTGCAGGACACGCGGCTAAATACACCCTACTACACATGTAATTAGGGTGTCCTTTTCCCTCGATTCGCATACAAATTGTTTTCAGTTCAAAATGCTTTCAAACACTTCACATTTGATTGAGCGATTCGCTCAATTTCGATGCCGTTGACAGGGAAAAGGGAAAAATCGCAGTATCGCAGTCGAACAAAAAATAAAAAAAAGTGAAGTGAATGTAAAACAACTTGACCTAAGCACTCTCGCTGAATCGCACAGGGATTACTGGCTCTGCATACAAATTGTCCGTTTCACGGTCTTCATCGAGATCCGCACTCGCATCCGCACATCCGCATTCGCATCCCCATTCTCGTCCTTCGCGTCCTTGCTCTTATTCGTATCTGTTAGCAGATTAACTGTAATTGGTCATTGATTCGCATATGCAGAGCGTTTTTGGGCACTTGAATAGTAACCGATGATTTTTTCCCAGCTTTGAGCTGATAGATACAAAGTATCTGTATCTGCAGCGTAATCCTCGCTTGTTTTGGGGTTGGTGAATGGGCAATTATTTTGGGATTTGCATGCTTGTTGTGTGGAGCAGTCAGAAAAAAGGAGTAACCATCGGCTTAGCTCCCGGGTTAAGTCAAATTTTTATTGGGGTATTACAAAAAAAAAAGGATTTGTGAGCTGTTTAAAGTATTTTATACACTTATAACAATTAACTACGTTTATTCCACATATATTCCTACCAATACCTATGAAGTTCCAACTTGTCAAAAAATACTCTCAACAACGTTTTTCTCTTCCTTCTCTTTTTTTTAGATCCCTGTTAAGAATGGGTTTAAATGCAATCCATTATTTTTTTGGGGACAGTTTCTTCTCTCGTTTTGATCGCACATGTGTGATAAATGCTGAACGGATATCCGCAATTCAACTTTTACTGCCTGGCTGCTTTAGCACAGTGGTTTAAGTTGCTCGCATTATAATTGCTGCCAACTGACAATTAAAAAGCCCACAAAATCGCACACACACACAAAGCAAGTAAAAGGGGTGGGAGTGTGCGTTGGGTGGGTGGCATTTTCCCAGCAGACACACAGGACACAGGACAATAATTGGCAGCAATTATAGCAAGGAAATCGTTGCTAATTTACTACTCGCTCAACTGCACACATTGTTGCAGATTCTGGGTGGCGTAGATGGGGATTCGTCTAAATACAGGGTGTCTATAATTGCGGAGACTCCTCTATTGTCTCGAAAACTCGTCGACAAGTACAGTTCTCAAGTGATTTCAATTTACAAACAATTAATTTTCCCATCAGATGCAAGAGCCTCTGCTCAGATTGAAAATTCTTTCCCCCGAAAAACGGAAATGTGTGTGCAGAAAACGCCTATTTTGTGAGGTGGATTGGTGGGTGGTTGGGTGGTTGGGGGGTCGGTCAACCCCAAACCCCAAGTAAGTGTCGAAAAATGCATAAGACACCCTTTTTGTCTGAAGAGCGAGACAGAATGAGAGCGTTGCAAATCAGAGCAGAACACTTCCGATTGGATGCCATTGTATTTGACCTCCCCTCCCGCTGCCCCCTTTCCACAACACCTGTGTCCTTTGGCTCAGACACTCGGAGAAGGAGCGATCCAAGGACCGTAAGGACTCAACTTTTCGAGCCCACAGATTGATAGATTGGAAAATTGTTCGGCTTTTGGTCAAAGTCAAAGCAATTACAAGACGCTTGGAGAAGCGGTAGTTACTTTAAACTATTTCTGGTTCGATTATTGAATACCCTTCAATATAGTGAAAATGAATATAAAGAAATTATAATTGTGACTAATCATGTCTCTCATGAAAAATTCTTCTTTTAATGATATTGTTTTATACAATTTTAGTCACCCTTAGTTAATAAAAAAATCTAAGAGTTGATAGTTCCTTTTCTTTGGTTTTTTAAAAAGCCAATAAAAAATGTTCATTAAAACTTTGCTAAAGAAAACATATAATGAAAGCTTATAATTGTTGTGAAGATAGGAAGGACCTTTCCTAATTTAGGAGCTAATGTAAATATCTTAATTAGATTTTGTAGTCCCAGCTTATTACACCTCGAATTCCAAGTTCACTCAATTTTGCATGTGTTGAACTCCATCTCTAAAGTTCCCCCATCTTTTTGTGCACTTGCAGGTTTGGTTCCAGAACCGTCGGGCTAAATGGCGCAAACGTGAGAAGTTTATGAATCAGGACAAGGCCGGCTACCTCCTGCCCGAGCAAGGTGAGTGTAAAACCAACCAACCAACCACCCGCCTCACAAGCCACCCACTTTTCCACCCACCCGGCGATACGCATTTGATTTGTCCGCAAATTGCCAAATTACGTGTGCAACATAATTAGGAATTATGTCGCTTGTGTCGCTTTTGTCGCTTGTGTCGCACCCCCTTTTCATGATTTTGGACTAGCACACTAATGAAATCGTCCTTTCTGCCGCCTTTCAGGTCTGCCAGAGTTTCCGCTGGGCATTCCCCTGCCGCCGCACGGACTTCCAGGACATCCGGGCTCGATGCAGTCGGAGTTCTGGCCCCCGCACTTCGCCCTCCACCAGCACTTCAATCCCGCTGCAGCCGCCGCCGCCGGCTTGTTGCCCCAACACTTGATGGCCCCGCACTACAAGCTGCCCAACTTCCATACCCTGCTTTCCCAGTACATGGGTTTGAGCAATCTCAACGGGATTTTCGGAGCGGGAGCAGCGGCTGCAGCAGCGGCGGCTTCGGCGGGTTATCCCCAGAATCTGTCGCTCCATGCGGGATTATCCGCCATGAGCCAGGTGAGCCCGCCGTGCAGCAACAGCAGTCCACGCGAGAGTCCCAAGTTAGTGCACCATCCCACGACGCCCCTGGCCACGCCCCCTGCTTCGGGAGGTAGTGGAGGTGGAGGAGGAGGGGGAGGTGGAGGTCTGGGGGGAGCCACCTTGATCTCCGGCGGTCTGATCTCAACGGCCGCCCAATCGCCGAGCAGCGCCACCGGCGGCAGCAGCAACGCCTCCACTCCCGTTTCCGTGGTCACCAAAGGCGAGGACTGAACGCTCCGTGATATTTGGATTCGTCGTTATGTACATACATATGTGTAGATATCTAGTTGTATTTATGGTTATATATTATATATAGTAGCCCACGCACTGTATCATACATGGAGCTTTGTCTATGGCCAAGGTTAACGTAGTCGTAACAGCCTAAGAATTATTACTATCTATCTGTAAGTGATCTTCGAGCGTAATTAGCCACATGCGAATAGCTGTAATGCGGACATATGGTAGTCTACCCACTAAGGAAAACTGTCGAGAAATAAACGATATGAAAAGAAAACTTTTGTATTTTATGGTTGGGAAGGTGGTAATCGAATTTCTTAAAGCGACATTGGAATCTTAATATCGGTGACTTTGTTACAATGCACGTAACCAGTTCTAATAAAATTGTTCTTAATTCTGTGCAATATACCATCTTAAAAAGTATATAGAGGCTCTATATTTCAGGACAGTAAAAAGACCTCAAAGGAGCGAAAAGCATCAATGAAATTGCATTGAACTTATATTTCAAACCAGATCAAATCAAAAAATTGAAAGCACTTTTTTCTATTTTCTAGTAGATCCGTTGATAACGTTTAATAATGGCAAAATCTTTTTCAAAATCCGTGTATTGAGGTTTTTGGTACTCTAAGATGGTTCATTTCCTCTTGATTTTGTACTTCAATGCCAGAGTTAATCTCCCGGTCAACTTCCGTTAACCTAAGCAATTTTTTAATTTCCCCCTCTCCATTGCAAAAGAATATCAAAAAGTTTCCCTACCTTAAGTAGGGATTATGACCCTACAAAGTCTCATTATAAATTGCTCAAACGCTACAATTGATTGTATACAAACTCGACTCGACCTTTCATTTTGCCAGAGTCAAATGAAAACGATCTTGAATCCAGAAATAGTCGACGACGACCTACCCCGACAATTGAAAAGGCCAAAAAGCGGGGAGTTCAAATCGTATAATAATCTCGATATTATGTCAAATTTGCCGACCGAGAGGAAATGTTGCATAACATGTGAAGAGACGTCGAAGGAGCCCAGAAAGTCGGCGAGAAGAGGCGAACAATGGACTTTTGAAGGAATCTATCGCATTGTGCCAGACAGCCGTGGAGGAAATGCAATTCTATGGGATGTGTGAGCCAAAGGATTTGCACCGAATTCAAGTGGTGGTGGCTGCACGGGGGAAACAGGACGAGTCCTTTTGTAGCCGGGCCGCATGCAGAGCTAAATGCTATATTGATATCTCGTAATTTGTGCCATAATTACTTTTTAATAATTTCGCACAGCGCTCGAAATCGCTGCAGGATATCGCATTGTTCGCCCAATGGCCTCAAATTTAATAATCAAACGCCGTCAAGTTCCTGCTCAGCAAAGTCCTGTCTAGAGTTCGTTCCCCGATTCGGATTCAGATTCGGATGCGGATGCGGATTCGGGTTGGAATTTGATTACACTTACCACTCACTCGTTCGAAATTCGGGATGGGCGAGGTCAGAGCCAAATTCCCTGCACAAATACAGGCGCACAATAATAATGAGCGAAATGCGCGACTTAACGGATTTGTCACAGTCAAAAGGATACGCCAGGAGGGGGAGGAGCAGGCGGGACCAGTCAAAAGAAGCTCTCATAAAACTCATATGCAATTGCCTTTTGTGGCCGTCCTTTGTGTACAAGGTAGCTGAAGACAGCCTGGGAATGGAAGGACCTGCCGGCGATTATACTCTTTCGATTGGGAACTTTGGCTGGGAATTCAATATTTGAATTAGTTATATGTATTTTGTTGATAGTAAAAGTTATAATAAAATTGTTGATGTCGTTTGAGTTGGATATTTTATTAACAATTACAAGACATTTTTGTAGCTTATACGTATTCTATTTCTTTCATTATCAATACGTTTAAAATATAAATATATTATACAAAATGTTAATATGTTAGCTTGAATGGGGATGTAACAGAAACTTGAATGGGTTTCAATTTGTTTGTTTAAACTAAACTACCACTTCCTAACTATATTTCTGTTTGCCTCTTTCTATAAATATACATAATTTACAAATAATAATTTATAACTTTTTCTACTTAAAAGAGTATTCATATTTCCACAAACGCCCACCCGCCTTTCATCTTGTTTCTATCAACGAAAATTCAATAAGTTGAAGTAGATCTTTTATTTGTGCAAGTGTTTGGCCAAGCAGCGGTGGTGGGCGGTGAAAAAAGGTGGGCGGGGTAAGCCGCCCATCCACATTTCGGGCCACCCAAAACGTCCTTGTGTGTGTGTGTGTGTGTGTGTGTGTATGTGTGTGCGCCCATGGAATTTCATTCGGTGTGCAAATGCAGCGCATCGCTCTGCGGGCTATAAATATATGAAATTTATCAAGTGGCCCTTCGAGTTTCGCATTTGTGGCTCTACGAAATTGAGTGTCGAGGACCGTCGTCGTCGTCTTTCCATGGTATTTGGAAGTATTTGCAGTCGGCTCAGTGCAATTTCACCTTGTGCAGGCACAAATTTTTCACGAGAGCCAAATGCTCTTCAAAATGCCCAACACAAAATCAATTTCGTCCTCGACACTCGAGCGCATTAAAATGGTAACAGTTACGCAAAACAAGAGCAAGTGGACGCGATTCGAGGCGGTGGGCGGTGCAAAAACTGCCAGCATTTTCGACCCGCATATATAGGGATATATATTATATGAGTATAAGTATATATGTCGCCGGCAATCCGCACGTAATGAGCGACAGTTGATGATGCTCTGAATACAGCGGTAATTAAACAAGTTAAATCCGCTCAACAGACGCTCAAGAAAGATTTCACCTTGCAGTGGAAATTCGCCTCGTTTCGTCCGGTTCTGTTTTTCCGTCGTATTTTCATTTCATTTGGCTCGACGGCAGCCGCAATGCTCGTTACGCGCACTTAAAAATTTATTTCGCATTTAATTCATCAAAAGTTGTCAGCGGAGTAATTACGCAGATTGTCTGGCTTTTGTGGGTGGGAAGATGCCGCCTAATGAGCGCCATTTTGTGGATGCCACACAAAAAAGGGACGCATGGGCGCTCCGTAATTGCTGTAATTTGTGACCACTTGAGAGGCACCGTTTTGAAGGAGTATCGGGTTGCTCCGTTGATCGTCGATCGGTCGAACTAAATTGCCAACACACCGCAACATGCAATTGCCAAGGAAAACATTTCCGACAGGATACTTCGGAAATACCATAAGTACACTGGCGACAACTGGGAAACACGATACTTTTGTGTCGAAATGCTCCCGCTCCTGCTAAGTATTTCAAAGCGCACCGACGGCAGATCCTTTCCAGCTGAGACTCCTCACAAAAAGGTGAGGATATTCTGCAGGAGATGTCCCTCCTAAGATGCCAGCCTGCTGACTTCAAATGTGGCTAAGCTGCGCCTAATTTTATCGATGACAAAACTACTCGTCCCGTGATTAAAGAAAGAGCAGTGCCCCGTGGTTTTTGTTTACCGATTTTAGCCATAATGGTTTCATGCCTGATTTGGCTGATGAGGTCCTTGGGCAGTTTCAGGTAGAATTGGGTGTACTGTATAGCAGGCAGCTGGAGAGGCTTGGGCAGCCAATTGTGTCCTCATTAGCCAATGGTCTACCTCGACCAATTGTTGGGACAGTTGAATACCGTGGATGCCGTCTACTCTTTATACTCAGGTGATAATCACCATTTTTAGATTGTTCCTGGTGAAGATGTTACGTTATAAATGATTAAAAAGTAACTAACTTAACTTTAAATGACTCTTGCCACAAAAGCTCATAATAATTAAAAAATAAATATTTGCTTATTAAGTTTTTCTAAGGTCTATATATAGAAAATGTATTCTAATGGATGATAACGATAGGCAAAATTATAAATAAAAAAGTAAAAATAAAAAGACCAACGAACGAGTGCTGATCGATGGCTATATAAATCGCATTTATAGCTGTTAACCAGAGCGCATAGTCGTAACTATAATAATAAATTAAATAAACAAACAAATATATCAAAACGGGCTCGAAATAGGGATAACGGCGAAAAGAGAAATACTATTAAATTAAGTTAATCAAATGTATGCGCTGTGAAATTAAGCAGCTGCTGCTCTGTTCGCTCTGTTTGCATTTCCACCTTGCCGGCGTTTGGCCCGCTCACAACCACAGGCTCATAAATTATATTAATAAAAAAGGCAATGGCAACAACAATTCCAGTTAAGGGACACTGAGGAGAGGAGGGTGGGGGGTGCGGGGGGACACATGTGTGTCATTGCTGTTAAACTTTGTTTACATTTTGTTTATTAAACGACGCGGAAAACTAGCGACATTCAGGCCAAGTTGCCAGCAGCGTGTTAGAAACTATATCGGGTCACACCTGACTGCCAATTCGCTACCCCTTTTTGCTCGGTTGCTTGTATTTGATTTTAATTAAATTTCCGCAACTTTGTCACAATTTGTTTGTGTTCATGGAGCCCAGTCCTCTGTTGGCTTGCGTGTTGCTGTTCTCGCCTTCAGCTCCTTTTCGATGGCTTTGTTTGCTCGGCTGGAGGACGTGAATGGGAATGTGAAAAGTTCAGCCAGTTCAGCCAGTCATTAATTGCCGGGCCAACACCTTGGCAGGTGTCGCTCGTTAGGTTTGTGACGTGAAAATTTGCCTGGTTTCTAGTCGTTGAAAATGGGCTTCTTCCTATGGCGACTGCCCTCAGCTAGCAGCATTTCGTCCTCCGGCTCCAGGATGTTCTCCAGCTGCTGCAGGACCTCCGGAACGCGAGCCACGTTGGTGCGTTCTGCAAAATGGAGAGGAAGTCGTAACCTTACGTTAGAAAAAAAGTTTATTAAGGAACTAAGAAATTTAAAATATAATTTCTCAGTTATTATTAGTTTTAAATATTTACAAGCATTTTAAAGAATAAGACTTCTCTCAATAAAAAAGAACAGCATCTAAAAAATGTCTATTCATTTAGATCCAATTTTATTTTCGGCTATTGCAGGCTTAAAAACAAGAATGTTTACCAATTAATCAACAAGTATTTAACTGAGCTTAAAATGAAGAAATTTATTGAAAAATTTATGTTCTAAGATATTAATTAAACTATTTCCCCGTAAAATATATAATTTTTTTAATTGAACTCACCAAGCTCGTCGAATATATCGACGATTGTTGGCATAGGACGGCCAAATTCTTCCATGTCTGCCATGCTGAAGGTGCCTAAAATTTGTTTTGTAAAAAATTGTTGCCCTGTTGAAACGAAAAGTGTTTTTTGAATGACTAGAAACGCGATACGACATCGGGGGCAGTGCCTGCCTGGGAATCGATACGAACGTTCGATACTTTGATTCCGCGCTGTCTCTTCTACTCGTTGTCCCTTTTTGTCCTGGTAGTCGGTTCATTGTGTGTGTGCCAATTATTACGCCTGATTTAATAAAATCAATGAGGCTCTTAACTGCTCTAAGTGGCTGCTAATCGTTTCGGGCAACAAAAAAAATAAAAAGGCGAGTGAAGAGCGAAAATGGAAATAAAATTGTTATGTTCGCTGCGACAGTGACACATCAAACGGAATGGATGACAATTGGAGCTCTCTCTCCTTACCAACGAAGCAATTCCATTCTATCCGGAATGTCTTCCTCGATGTCTTCCCGTCTGTCTGTCTGCCGAAGGAGCCTTCATTGACTCACAACCCACCGGAAACGGAAACGCGCCGCAAATTGCAAAGTTTGAGCAGCAGCACTCTCCCGCGCGCTCCACAAAATTAATTTCATCTTCGATTCCTGGTCGTGGGCGCTTTCTATGGCGGGAAATTGGCAGCAATTTTCTTTGCACTCCTCGCGATTATAATAAATGCGAATTTCCTCGGCCATTTCCTCGGCAGTGAAGGAATAAAAAAATACGCATCTCCGATGAGGCGTGGCCTTGCCCGAAAGTCCTTTGTTTAATCGCCGTCAACATCCATGAACTCATATTTCGATGAGCGGAGCCATTTTTTTTTTTTTTTTTTATTCGTTCGCCTCGTTCTGCTGAGGATTTGGGTTTTATTTTTTTTGCCGCTTTCTGCATGAACAGTTTCAAGGACATGACCGAGAATTCAAGTGCGCGGCACTTGAAATAACAGAGAAATATCTAGGAGTGAAAGGACCAGTCGGACAATAAGGCAGTGTGAATTTGTCATTTGTGCAGCCAAAGTAGAGTTAAATCAGGCGCATAATTACCCCGGCTCACATGTGTGTGAGTGTGAGTGAGTGAGTGTGTGTGAGCGGACTTAGGACATGTGAAAAAAGGTGTAAAGGTGAAAGGTCGAGGGGATAAACGAGTGCATGTGTGTGGGACTCGGGGTTTCAAAGCGGCAGCTTATTTAAATTGCTAAATGCTCGCATTATTTGTGCTAATTTGTGGGCAATTTTCGAATGGCTACTTTTCACACATAATGCTACGTGCTACTGGCTAAAGTGTTTCTCAGCCGAGCTGCTTAGGCGAAAAAGATCTCGACTGAGCCAGCTCTTTAGAAACTGCCAAAGTACTTGAGATTATACTCGTTTCGAAGAGGTCTCAAAAGTAATTTTCCTGCTAGGGGGTTGGATGGTTTTTGGTGGGGAGGTCAGGACAAGCATTTACCTCCCAGATGGAACCAAGTCTATTAGAGTCAATTAGCGAGCGATTATAATGACTGGCCGGTGGTCCATCCCCCTTGTCACTCAGACATCCACCGAGTCAATCAGCCCTCCTGCATCGCTTTAAAGTCATTGAAAAATTTGCACATAAATTGCGTAAAGTGCACATTTTTGTTTTGTGTTTTTTGTTCTGCCCTAACACGTTTACACGGCCTCGTCGAGGTCCTCGGCCAGGTCGTCCTGTTCCTGTTCCTGTTCGAATGGGCTGCACCCTTTTGCCTGTTCGTAAAACGCCAATCACCCCCAATGCCAGTGCGTGTATGTGTGTGTGTGTGTGTGTATGTGTTAACCACGTGAATGCATCACCCCTTTTTTGTCTGTGTGAGTGAGTCGTCCCTCCTCCTCCGTTCGATTCGCTTGCTTTTCTTCTTTATTTTTATTTGGTCAGCGAAAGCGAACATTGTCAGCCCAATTTCACACAAAAAATGCAATCAAATGTGACGCTTTTCATTATCCCCGCGATTTATATTTTCAGTCGGTCGGGCGGGGAAACGGGATATGTAAAAAGGCAATGGGAACGGGAAAAATTGAAATCAATCAAATTAAATTGCCTGGATGTCAATTTTACATTGGAACGGTTTGCTTTTGAAAGATGCAGTAATTGGGACAAAACCAAGAAAGTTGTTCTCTTTAGTACTGCAAAGTATTTTGTTTAGTTGAAATTGTTAATTATAGTAAATAATTATAAACAAGTGGTTATCTTTAGTATACCCTGAAATAGTGTAAAATGTTGCATACTTTTAGGTAAATACAAGTACATACATTATTAAATTTCTTTATATGTATTGCAGATAAAGAAAAGGAAATAAATATTGTTGGAAAAACAAACAAATAATTGTTTTAAGATAAAATAAAACATTTTTAATCATTTATATTGTTTATAGAAATTATACATTTTTAAATTTTAAATAAAACCCGAAATAATAATGTTGAATTCCCTTTTCCTTTGTGCATTCATTGAATTACTGATTTGGTTTTTTAAGAAACGTTTTTCAAGTCTCAGAGCTTCCAACACTTCACGCTTGACTGAACTCAAGTTTGGATTTTATTATATTCGGATTTTGGTGGCATTGCAGCTTCATCGATAGTAATTGAAGTGAAAACAATGTGTGTGCTTTGGGGTGTGTGCGATGTCTCCATATAATACCAATACGATTATGCGATGCGAGCGCCTTGAAGAACTTGATGCCCTCATTGTTGGTTGGCAGCCAGAGAGGCTATACTAATTGACCATATGGGTCGTTTTGTGCGGCATACTTGAAGTTATGAAGTCGTACATAGGCGGAGGTACTTATGTGCCTTACTCGATTCCGAATATATTTGCGCTCTTTATTATGAATTTTAAATCGAATTTGAATGGAAATTAAGTACTGAAAATTGCATTATGACGACGTCGACATTGTGTGCGTGTTTATTTTTGTTTTTGTGCAAATTGATTAGTGGGACAAGCTTAAAGTCCGGGGGTTGCTAGCTTCTCATTCCGGAATTTTTTTTATCCCGTTCTGAGTCGTAAATTCCCGTGTTTGTTGTTGTGCAGCGCGGTGTAAAGTGATTCGCTTGAGAAAGTGACTTTTGGTCGGGCAAGTTGCGCCCATTTTTGTGCACTATGCAACTCATTAGCGGCATCTGTCGCCGATTCCCCCTATTTTCTGGCCAAGTGCCAGTGATTTGGGCCCATTAATTACCCATTTGTATGTGGATGCAACTAAACTTGCAACTGCAACAGGCACGTCGACAGCGAATACGAATTTCATTCATAATGCAGATCGAGTTCTAATTAAATGGCCCAACGCCATCTTGACTAATTGTCTTGGCAAACCCGGCGAGAACATTTGTCTCTCGCATGGCCATAATAATTTTCATTATTTTTTCCCCAGAATGAAATGCATTTCTGGTAATCAGTACAGAGCGGCGGCAACAAATTGACATTGGCAATTTGTTTTCGTTCGCCGCCTTTGATCACCGGGCTTGCGTCATCTGCTTTTGGCCTATCGTATTTCTCGCTGGCATAAACAAACATTTTCGGGTCTCCTCCCACTTTGGAATGCGTCTAAAAATATCGGGAATCGTTTCGAAATCTCCGCATACACAGGAAATATTTTGGGGAATATTTTTGGCATTACTAGAAAGCTTTTTGGGGTGGTATGTGTTTGGGAAATTCGAAACGCTTCGTCTGGAAGTGGAAAAGCTCCCACACAGAGCTCAAAATAGATATCCTCGAATGCTGATCAATGGAGAGCTTCTTGAAGGAGGGGAAAGATTCTTTTACAGTAAAGCTTTTCCGTTTGGATACCATATCAGTCCTAATCCCCAATGGCTTTCCCCTTTTGCCTTGCCAGAATTTTTTCCAAAATCTTTATGTTTTTAGAAAAAATTAAATCTAAAAAATCGTTTTTATTTATAAATAATTATAAATTGTTTTAATTAATATTACAATCATGAGATTATTTTACATTTCGTAGTAAATAGACCCCATCCGCTCTATTATGGGACGTTGTTAGGTGCTGTACAAAATTACATGAGGGTGTCGGTTCATTCGTAAAACAATCAAATGGCGATCAACATTTATGGGGAAGCCGCGAGCGATTAACAATTGGATGGGGATCGCGGTCCATGGCAATAGATTGAAAATTCATTGATTGATGGTCAGTCAGTAGAAATAAATATTCTCGAACCAAGGATGACACGTTCGGTGCGTGATGACGCTCAAAAACAAAAACATAATGCTTGGATGGTGTGTTGTTTTTGCCGCTGGTGGTGGATCACCCACACGACCGCTGACACCGAGAACCACCAGAAGTAGAACCAGGTGAGCAGCGGCATGGGGATGGGACCACCAGTCGTTGTTGGTGGTGGTGGTGCTGGTGGTGGTGCAGGAGTTAGGCAACTGCTTAGAAGCACTTGCGGTGGACGATGCCGGGGCCGGACTCGTCGTACTCCTCCTTGGAGATCCACATCTGCTGGAAGGTGGAGAGGGAGGCCAGGATGGAGCCACCGATCCAGACGGAGTACTTGCGCTCTGGGGGGAGCGATGATCTTGATCTTGATGGTGGATGGGGCCAGGGAGGTGATCTCCTTCTGCATGCGATCGGCAATACCGGGGTACATGGTGGTGCCACCGGACATGACAATGTTGGCGTACAGATCCTTACGGATATCCACATCGCACTTCATGATCGAGTTGTAGACGGTCTCGTGGATGCCGCAGGATTCCATTCCCAGGAAGGAAGGCTGGAACAGGGACTCGGGGCAGCGGAAACGCTCGTTGCCGATGGTGATGACCTGTCCGTCGGGAAGTTCGTACGACTTCTCCAGGGAGGTGGAGGCGGCGGCGGTGGCCATCTCCTGCTCGAAGTCCAGGGCGACATAGCACAGCTTTTCCTTGATATCGCGCACGATTTCACGCTCAGCGGTGGTGGTGAACGAGTAGCCGCGCTCGGTGAGGATCTTCATCAGGTAGTCGGTCAAATCGCGACCAGCCAGATCCAGACGGAGGATGGCGTGGGGCAGGGCATAACCCTCATAGATGGGCACGGTGTGGGAGACACCATCACCAGAATCCAGAACGATACCGGTGGTACGGCCGGAGGCGTACAGGGAGAGCACGGCCTGGATGGCGACGTACATGGCGGGCGAGTTGAAGGTCTCAAACATGATCTGGGTCATCTTCTCGCGGTTAGCCTTGGGGTTCAGGGGGGCCTCGGTCAGCAGAACGGGGTGCTCCTCGGGGGCCACACGCAGCTCGTTGTAGAAGGTGTGGTGCCAGATCTTCTCCATATCATCCCAGTTGGTGATGATACCGTGCTCGATGGGGTACTTCAGGGTGAGGATACCACGCTTGGACTGGGCCTCATCACCGACGTACGAGTCCTTCTGTCCCATACCGACCATCACACCCTGGTGGCGTGGACGACCGACGATGGAGGGGAAGACGGCACGGGGCGCGTCATCACCGGCGAAACCGGCCTTGCACATGCCGGAGCCTGGAGGATAACACAAACGGATGGAGGTCCATTAGTACGGGGAACAAAGGTTCCGGGTGCCCGTGAGGGTACCGAAAATTGCTCTAACGGACAGCGGGAAAAATTGTGCTCTAGGTACTGGATAAATTTGAGGTTCTACGGGGTAGCACATTTTCTCTCAGAAAATGCGTGAAAAATAGTTTCGGGGTCCCAACAGGGTACCAAAAATTGCTCTAACGTAAGTCGTGAAAAATTCTGGAGATTGTCTTTTTTAAATACTGGATCATTTTGGGGTACTACGTAATACAAGATTTTCTCGCAAGAATTGTGAGAGGAATAGTATCAAAACCTGCTCTAACGCATAGCGTGAAAAGATCTACTGTCGGTATATAAAATACTGCATAAAATTGGGAAACTAATTGAGATATAATTTTCTCTCTCGAAATGTTCTCATTGATTTTTTGGGGGGCTCTATGGGAAATTTAATTTCCGGAAATTTTTACTCTAGTATTGTGACCTCTAAAAAATACTTTTCTTGTAAAAGATTTCTCTTGGAAAAGTAAGCCAAATTATTTTGATGACTATATTTTATAAAATCTTTCAATGGGAAGCTTTTTTGATTCAAAGATTCAAAATGTTTTGAAAATTTAATTGAATATTTAAAATTTGAAAGTATTTTTCTTTTTATCACTACATTTTAATTTCAATTTTTTTCTTTAAAATTTTTTTTAAGAAAACTGAAGTATTTTCTAATATATTCTTTTAATTTGTCCCAAAGGACTTTTGAGTCATTCACAACTCGAAGATATTTCACTTTGGCGATCACTTTTGCACAAGTGGCTAGTATATTATATCCTTTCGATGTTTAGTCCTCATTTTGCAAAAGCGAAGGAGATAATCCGTTTGCTGGGGAATACGCACCATTGTCAACGACCAGAGCAGCAACTTCATCGTCACACATTTTGTTTGAGTTTGTTTTTTTTTACGGCACCACGGGTGAGAATTAAATCAAGAGTTACGGTGTGTACGGCTTGGAACACAACTGACTGACTAAAGTATCGCCGCGTTGGTACTCGGATTTTATACCGCCACCGAAATGCCATCTCGTCCAAGAAGCGCCGCTGCCATGCCCCCCGTCGCCTCCGCCCCCGCCACGCCCCTTGCCGCCAGCAAGCACGAATACAAGTATAGGAACCGACGCTATGCTCATGGATGCGATAATGCTGCCCACCGGCCGATCCACCTAAAAATAGATCCTTCAGCATAGGGGGCTCTTTGGAAAACATAACGCGAGCGAGCGAGAGGGCGTTATATCATGGTGTTGGTTTGGTTTAGTATTGTATAGTATAGTATTGTATGGTATAGTATAGGATGTGTTTGGTATGGTATGGTACAGTATAGTTCGGCATGATCGAGCGTGGAGATCGTATCGGTTGGGATCGGGTACGATCGGTTGGGGAGCCAACCGCTCGCGATCGGTGGAACCCAGTCAAAAAGTGCCGTATAAGGCAAGGAGGCGCCTCCAGCACACTCGCTCTCTCTCACCGGCCTCTCATTCTCTTTCTTTCTCTATCTCTCTCTCTGTTTTTTCTCCCACTATATCGGCTATATAGATTTTAGAGGCGGTTCGGTTCGGTTTGGATTTTTTTTGGGTCGATCGGTGGGGGATATTCGCTTTGTTGTTGGCTTCTATTTTCCTCGTATTCCTCGTTGTTTTCATAACTTTCGTGTTTTTCTCATGTCGTAATAAATTCGTTTTCTATTTTCGATATATAGTATGTAGAGGCACACACACACATACGTACACCCGTAGCCAAATCGCATCTATATATTTTTACCAGCCTTTGCACCTTCATGCCTTTCGTTTCTATTTTTGGTAATATTTCTCACTGCGCTTCCCATCTCTTTTCCTCTCTTGCGGATCCGCCCACGCCCCTTGTAATGAGCATTAATTCAACTAATTGTTTATTTACAAAGATTGGCTATGCATAAGAAAGGGAGAAGGGGGCTTGGGGGGTTTTAAGCTGGAAAGGAATATGCTGGACCGTTACATTTCAGCTTTGCAGGGTTCCCATTTAAATTGGGTTCGGTGCAGTCTATTTTTGGGTGCAACTAAGTGGGGCATGTTTACGTTTAATGGCACAATCCGGTGAGGCCAATCGGTTCTATGGATCCTCCTCACTCTCTACGCATTTTACCCAATTCTTCTGAATCTAAATACATGGATACACAAGTATATGTAGTGCGTTTGGGCTGCTATACTACATGGAAAAACAAATGGATTTCGATGTCGCTAAATTGGAGCTGCGATCCAAGGCGTATTCATTCTCTTCCTCGCTACGAAAAATGTGTATTTCTGCACATAGGTAGATGTACATGTATCCCTAGATATATAATACCCATAAGATGGAGTCCCAGTTTATTGGGAAGAATGACTAATCCCTAACATCTAAATTGCCAAATTGACTTTATCAATAGAACTTTTGTAGTTGGAATAGGATTATTTTCGAACTATTTTTAGCGAGTTCTATATAAAGCTTTAAGTGACAACAATGAAAATATTTATCCAGAGTTGCCATAGAGAAATGTAGGGCAGGTTATTGAATTATGATTGCCGTTTTTAATAACATAAAAAATTCGACCAAAAAACTTAATTACTTTTTAGTGAAAAAAAAAATGTTTTAATTTTGTTAACCTTAATTAACATAACACAATATGTGTACTTTACTTGACGTAACATTTAAAAAAATAAATTAAAATAAAAAATATTTACCAATTAAAAATGTCCAACATTTTTTGGGGATTATACCCGAAATAAAAAACTGCTATATGTTTATGTTAATTTTTTCGTATTTTCCAAAAAAAATTTTTTTTTGGAAAACGAATTGATTTTTGGAAACCGAATTTTTGTTCCCGATAAAATGGTTTCATTTTCCTAAAAGGTTGGATCTCGAAAAAGGTCTAAAAAAAGATTTTAACAAATATGTATCAAATAATATTATTTATATTAAGTGGACAATTTTAAAATATTAGGGTTCTTAAAGTATAATTATATTTAGTTTAGTTTTTATCATTAGCCTTATAATAATTGTAATGTTTGGGTCTGATTTAAGTAATTCTTGTCTAATTTAATCCGTTAGCTTAAGCCCTACTTTTTATCATTGCTCACATGAAAGAACTCAACCGTAAGTTCAGAGTTAATTAAAAGTATATCAGTGTCAGACTAGGCGTGACTTTCACCGGGTGACCATTTATCCCAGCAACCACCACGCAAATTGGCAAGGACCCTCAAGCCTTCGGCAGTCAAATGGCAAAGCCAAACTTTGTCGTTTGCTCGTTAAAATAACGAAAATAAAGCCAATTGCAAATAGATTATATAAATGGCTAAATCAAAATTTAATAAAGCCCAATGCAGTGTGCACTCGCTGGAGCGGAGGGAAAGTGGGAGGGTCGTCGACTGTCACCAGTAGTGGCAGGACCAAGGAATTTTAATAATGATCACGTATCCTGGCAGCGAGTCCACCTTGTTGTTTTAGTGCACGTGCGCCAATTGCCAACACTAAAGGGATTCATTTGTGAATTATCCAATGCCGAAAATCCAGTCTCTATCCCCTCCGCAAAAGCAGGACTACCCCCATGCCGATGAACCTAAATAAACACCGAGCGGAGTTCGAAGGTTGGGAATCAGCGAAAACAAATTGCAATTGAGCCGGCAAAGGACCTCGCTGGATGGGTGACAAAAAGTGGCCACCACATCGCACAGTCACAGTTCAAGGATGAGGATGAGGATTTGGATTCGAATTGGGACAGGGACTGGGATTCCGAGTCAGATTCTGATTCTGATTCAGATTCAGGAGGGATACAGTCGCGATGCGCATTTGACAGCTCAAGCGGAATGCACACAGACGACGGCGATGGCGAGGATGAAAGGCGCTGGTGGGTCAGGGGTCACGCCCAAAGCCAAGGTAACAAGCCGGAACATGGCAGTGGATGAAGGATATAGGGCTGATCTGCTGGGAAAAGTCGACAGAGGTCCACCCCCATTTTTGCCCCATTTAAAATGCCTTGGATTTCCATGAATTTCGACGGAATTTTTATTAAGTTGCCAATTTGGCAATTGACAGAGTTGATCAAAGTGGCTGGGCAATTGCGGGGTTGGCCGCATATTTCCCTCAATTTCAGTGTGAATTAATTTCAAATTAGTTTGCCACATGCATTTCAGGATTTATTGGATTTTCGCAGGCGCACACAAACATCGGGGGGAAAAACAAAAGGGGTGCGAAGAGGGAAGGGTTAGCCACAATCCACAATCCTCTTAATAGGCCTAATCACAATCGATGGCCGATGACCGGTGATTTGTTTAGCGCATTAGCAGCTCCAGTGTTGACCACTGTCCAGCTGCCACAAACTCATCTGCCACTTGGCAGCAACTCCTGCCAATGCCCCTTCCCCTGCACCTTTTAGTGGTCGGAAACGAGGTCAGGCGAACGCATATAAACACACCATTTCGATTCAGATTGTGATTTCTGGAATGCATTAATTTGTGTTAATGGGGAAAGGAAAAGATTTCCCGCTTTTGTTAGGGTTTGGAGTGCAGGCGGGTTTTATTTTTAGGGGCCCCCACAATGGATACACACACATGGGCCAAAGTAAGTTCGCCTGGAGATGGAATTTTCCATGGGCAGTGGGCGAATCCTATCGTATTTCAGCCGAAACATTTCCTTAGACAATCGCAACCATAACTTAGCATTTAGTCATTCACGTGCTGCCTGCAATCGGTCAAAACGAAGGCAGACAAGTGGCCAGTTCTATATGCCAGACCCAAATATTCTATGCCAAATCCGCATATAGCTTTTTCCACTTGCCAGACCGAAATACTTTCGGGGTATGCGCTCCATCGAGTATTGTTTCTCGATTCTATGGGTCGCTTCTATATCTGCCCAGTCTGAGTCTGCTACACAGTTCGCCTCCAGGGCGAACCGAAATGTTCAAGAACAGAGCGTCGAGGCTAAGATGTTCTCCTTCTTTAGTGTGTCTATAGGAGATTAGAGTGGACCCAATACGTTACTGTGCAAAAATGCAGTGAAATGATTTACAAAGAATTTAATACATAAATGGGTAATGCTCTTACACTTTTTATGTTTGTAGAAATGGCTGCTTATTAGTATTAAGATTGTTTTTATAAGAATTATTTAATTAAAAATAAAAAAAGGGTAGAGCTTTGGTTAAAGGAATTAGTTCTTCCATTTTTTCAAACAATATGTTAAAAATTCTTAAAAAATTATAAAACAGTAATTGTCATATTTAAATGACACATTAAATAATTTCAAAACGTATTAGTATAATTTAAGATTAAAAATCTTTTAAAAATTATTTAGAGGAACTTTCTAAAATATAACAGAATTAAAAGATATAAGCTTGTAGATATAATATCTCAGCATAGTTAAATTTCGAATAAGTATGATTTCAATTTGCTTCTGCAGAATTTTGGTTTCCATGGGGTCACCCAAATCGGTTGCATATATCCCCGGCTATAACCTATGGGAGGAAGGAGAGCAACAACAACCAAAGTGACGCGGACATTTATGGTGTGCTCTGAAACAGATTTCTGTTCTGTTCGGTTTGCAACACACCAACACTCAGATATCTGCACACCCGCACACTCGCAAACTGGGAGCAACAACAATCATAATCGGAGAAAATGTTGTTCAATAATTTCGGCTCTGGCCGCTGGTTTCATTTCGTTTGGATGGATTTATTTTTACCGCTGTTATTTTATATACACGAAATAGAAGCAGCAAGCGCATAGGAAAAACAAAAAATATGTATCGAAAAAATGTAGAAAATTAGAGGATGAAAAAAGAGCAAGGAAAAAAGCGCCAACGCTTTCATCATCGACCAAACGGTCGCGATCAGCTGTACGTCGTCAATATGCGATATATCTCGGGTTGGATCGGAGATATATACTCTGCCGGTGTGTGTGTGTGTGTGAGATGTGTGTTTTTAATTAAAGTACAATTGTGATATAGACAAATAGGATATGCGGATACAGGGAAATTGGAAGAAAAATCTGTTTCATTTTTATTTGGCCTCATGGCCATTCAGCTTCCGCTCGGACCACTCGTGGCCATGGGAAAGCATCTTCATTAGCACCACGATCGTAATGATCGGTGTGATCATCTAAGTGGTATCCACTCGGTCTTGGACTCGGTGGTTTTTGACAATACCTATTTATAGAGCTCCCTTCGCTCTCTGCTGTTTTTTTGGTTGCTGTGGAGAACACTTGTCGCATGTCTGCTCCAAAAACAGAACCGAACCCTCGCGAAATCATTTAGGAATTTTAATTCGACTTCTTCAGTCGTCACAGAATGTGTCTCTGTGTGCATGCACTCTTTATTCTTTATTCAAGTTCAATTCAGTTGGACTTTGTCTTGCACTTGGCGTGCATCACAGTTTTATTTCATTTGTAATGTATTTTTGGTTCGTCACCCAAGCACTTTGTTTGCCCCACAAGTCCACTTCTTGGGGAGGGCGGCGCACATGTGATTCCTCAGTTTGCATTTATGCCTTATATGGCGAGCACTTGGCACCTACACACCCCAGCATTCGGGTATTTTCGGTATTCCTCCGCCCATCTATGGGTGATTCATGCGCCGCCCGATCTCTATCTTTGGCTCTCCTCCCCATCGGGGATGCCTGGGCCATCTCTCAATGTGGCTATCACTCAATCAATGAGTGATCTATAATTGTATATTAGTTTTACGCTGAAGTGAAGGGGGATGTGTAAGTGGATGAGGAAGTGGATGAGGAAGTGGAAGTGCAATGCCCCGGATGCAATCTTCCACTTAGCCTTTTCACAAAATTTATGGATCATTTTGCGTAATTTTTTTCTTTTTTAACATATTGTCTTTAAAATTACTTAATTGCTTAATAATATTCAGTGCATTAATTTACCTTAGTTAATTAAATTAGCGGTTCATGTCCTAGATGAACTAAGTGCGCCATCTGTCGGGGCCTGTTTTCTGTACGAGTGCTGGCGCTACTTATTTGTCAAAAGTAAATAGCTTAGTATCTTATCATTCATTTCATTTCTTTTTAAGAGGATACAAAACTGAAGTATATTTTATTAAAATATTTTTAAATTTTTGTATGACTGGAAGCAAGTTCGTTGTGTATACAGTAATTGCAAGTCGTTTTTGCTCAAAGTATGTCCTGGTGGTAGAGTAAAATCACTTAACGCCAAGCAGGTTTCGACTTATTTCGATTAGGTGGCGCCTTGATGTAGCAAAGACGCGAACCGATAACTAAATGTACTAAATATATCGAAATTTTCCCTCCAGCCTTAAAACTTTAAATAAACATTTTAAAACTTTCCAATTATCGTGATTAATAATTTTTGAGTCATCATCATTAACGAATGATAGCAAACATAATAAGAATCAAACCCCAGAGAACCTTAAAAAATGCCAAGTTTGCAGTTTTGTTAATTATAGCGTTTAATTTACTTTGAGAATTCTCTTCTGAAATAGTTTTATAAACTGAAAAGAGGTCTTGTTTTTTATTGTATTTGTTCCGCCAATTTTTGTTTAAATGTAGGCTCATGGCTCTTACAACTTAATTTACCATACAACACCATTACATTTTACTTTCTGTAAAATCATTTGTATTTAATGGCATGACAAGACTGGACTTAACAAAAAACCTTGTATCAGCAATCGTCATAAAGTTGGCCCTGTCCCTAAACTCTTACCCACCGCTAAGTGGCCACCATTTCCATTTCCCTCGACAATTTCACTGTAAACGCCGAGTTTTATTCCCAAGTTCTGCGCTTCATGCGCATACGAGTAGTATATGGGTGAGATTTTCCGGGTAGATGTTGTGCGTGTGATAAGCACTTCTGATGTAATTGCAGGCAATTATCATTGCGCCGAGGTCCTTTGAGCGAATTGTGACGCTCACGTGGGATATGCTTTCCTTCTCCTGTAGTAGTGGGTAGCTACAAGTCCTTAAAAAACAACAAGGACTTGTGGCTACTATATGTGTAGTTACCCCCTGGCGTGGGCTACATGCTTGCATTTTAATTGCCCGCGGCGTTAATCAATTATAATTTTATTCGTTACTTTATTAGATTCACTGCGGCTACTGCACCTGTTTTTTGCCCCTTCCCTGTGAGTCCTTTGTTTGCAGTGCATTTAGTCCTTTTTAATTGCATTTAATTACTGCTTGTCAGCATTTTTTGCCCAATGTCTCATGATTTTCTTATTAATCAAGTCATTAAGTAGCCTTGAACAGGCGATCACTGGGGCAGATAAGCACTCATAATTGGCCCGACAAGTTGGGTTATTGATGGCAGCTTTCCCCTCAGATTTCCTCACTTATTAGCTCCCCTGCTAATTGAACTCATTCCATATAAATTACAAAAAACCTTATTTGTTTTGTGATTATGCGTTGTTTTTGGGTTTAATAAATTATAACAAATACCAAAATCGATGAAACTTTCAGCTTGCTTTTAAAGCTTTATTTTAATTTAATTTAATTACTGTTGTGTAATAAAATATATTCGAAGGTATATATTTTCATTCTCGTAACCCTTTTTCCATTAAAACGCCACTTTATTGAGCTAAAATTTGTCGTATTTATTTTGTGCTAATATGCATTAGGAATAGACTTCTTCATCAGCCGTTTTTGTTTGAATTAATTGAAATTTTACAAATACACTTTGCACATGTTAAGTTAACTGCCTCGGAAATTAGACCTTACAACACGAAATTCACTAAACTTAGAACACACCTAGAAGATGATATAGGGATGGGGGAATGGTTTTCTTTTGATTGCAGCTGAACTTAGTTAGGAACCAACTGGGGCTAGACGATGGAGACCATGCCCTTGTTCAGGTTGTCCAGGTGCTCCTTAGCTTTAATCCGCAGCGTGGCGATCGAGTTGCTCCGCATATCCGCCGGCGGAGTTGCGGATGTCTTGCCAGCCGAACTGGGCGGAGGTGGTGGTGGACTGTCCCGCCCGACATCCAGCACTTCGATATTCGCGCTGGCCGCGCACTTATCCAGATTGCTGCCCGGATTACTGCTGGTGCTCCCGGCATCCAGATCGCTACTGAGGTCACGTCCTTCGCCGTTCGAATCGGCGTTGCCGATGCTCAGGTTTTGCGGCGACATGCAGACATCCGGACCGCTGCACTCGAGGGAGGCGGAGGAGGAGGACGATTGCGAGGACGAAACGGCGGCGGCGACGGCAACGGCAACGCTCGTCGACGTCGAACTGGGCGGCAGGCTGCTGTGCAGGGGCGTGCCAAGGGGGGTCACTCCGTGGTGGGGCGAGCCCAAGGACGTGGCATGCGGCGACATGCGTGACAGGTGCGGCGAGAGGTGCGACAGCGGTACCACATGGTGGTTGCCATGCGGATGGGGGTGGGGCACTCCGTGCGGCGGCGGCGGTGGCGGTGGCTGCGGCTGACCATGCCCCCCGTGACCCACGTGCGGGGGCGGTGGCCCGCTGTGGGCGTGATGGTGGCCCATGGCCGCCAGGCTACTCATGGTCAGGTTGGCGGGCGCCAGACTCAGCGGCGGCGTCAGATAGCTGGGGTACACCGTCTGCGGATGCGACAGAAAGCCTGAGGGTTAAGAAAAATGAAAGGGTGAGTTAGAATGGTTGAGAGATGCAAGGGAAAAATAACTAATTGCTTTTAAAAGCTTAATTTTGGTTTTGATAACCTCTATAAACTGAAGAGTATGAAGGACGTTATGACTAAACCTATTCAAAATCAAGTTTACATCATAATTGGAAGTATTTTATTTTTTTTGCTAATTCCATAAAACCAAAATTTTACTATCGCTCTAATTACCATTATAAATTGAATTATAAATACCGATTTATTCTCGAACTAGTTTTTAACGTTATGTAGCATAAATTAAAGGATTATCCTCACCTGGCAGAGCACTCAGCAGTGGTGGCGATAGCCAAGGATCCACCGGCAATCCAGAGGCACCACAGCCCAGTCGATGCGGCAGCTGGGTAAAGTGGGTTAATCCCAGGCGGAGACTCTCCGATTTCTCCTGGCGACGCCACTTGGCGCGACGATTTTGGAACCAAACCTGGAAATAAGCCAAAAGAAGAGAAGGAGGTGAGTTAGCTAATTGGGTTTCTGGAGGGAATGCACAGAGCAATTAAATTAATCACTTGACAAGAAACGCGCTAATTTAATCGGGCGTTAGGCAACAACAACAACAAAAACAACGAGGAAAACATTTTCATTTCGAGGAAGAGCATAACGCGTAATTAGAAAACGGAAAGCAGAAGCTGAGGGGCGAAGGGAAAGAGCTCCAAAAAGAGAGAGTCAGGACTCCAAAAGAGAGAGCTCCACAAGACAAAAAGCAAAATGGCGGCCAACGCAAAATTGTTAATGAAAACTCTGGCACACACACACCTTCACAGAGATTCCAGCAGAGATAACCCCTCATACACACACACACACAGATAGGCGAACAAAATGGCTGAGCTGCACACACACACACCAACACACGGAGAAAAGCACCCAAAGTAACGAAGGAAATAAAATAAAATTCAATTAGTTGCCTTGGCTCTAATTAGAATTATCGCAACAATGAGTGTGTATTAGTGTGGCTGTCTAATTAGTGGCGGAGCAAATGAGTCAGAGTGATGGCAAGCGAGAGACAGAGAAAGAGAAAGAGAGAGAGGAGGATAAAAGCCATCTAGGGAAAGTTTTCATTGCTCCCGGCTTGGCTATTACCGCCCCCTCAGCTCCCCTCTGTCGCCCACTTTCTGCTGCTGCCACGCTCAAAGTAATTAAATGCAATTTGCGCAAATTAATAAGAAATTATTTCTGATGGAAATTTCATTACCATGAAATATTGTTGTTGTTGTTGTTGTTCTTGCTGTCGTTGCTGTTTTTGGTTGCTGCTCCTGCCACAAGGGCATAAACAACCGTCTATAAGTATTATGTGTGTGTGTGCGTCTGTGCGAATGTTTGTGTGTTCTGGTTTCAGTCGCTCTGCGGCTCTTTAATTAAAGATAATGGTGCGTAAAATTATTTTCGTTGCTCCGAAAGTGATTTGCAAAACAAATTTTCCAGTCGGAAAATGCAATTTCAAATGGTTTAATTAAAAATACACTATGCAGCAAGGGATGAAGCCAAAATTATTCACGAAGCTCTTTCTTAAGTTGCTGAATTTTATTACCCGAAATAGTTATTGGCTACAATGTATAGTTATCAATTTTGTACGTATATACATATTATATCACTTAAAACGTGTTTTAAAATTTGTTTCAATGTTTAATGACTTTAATGAATTCGTTTACGAAAACTAATTTTAAACACAATGTTAAAAGGTCTAAAACTAAATTCCTCTGATCCAGTCGCCAAAGACGTAAAAAAAATTTTTCTCTATCAAGAATAACGTTGTTTAAAAACCTTAATACTTAAATAAAATTAATTCCATTCCATTAAAGAGACCATCTCCAAGTTGTCTTTCCATTTACTTCTTTATTTATAACTATCGAAAACTCATTTCATGCTAATCGAAAGCCAATCAAATCCGTTCCAATTAGAGTTGTTCCTTGATTATCTTTGAATATCTGTCGGATATCAATTAGCAGAGCAGACAGGCAACAATAACAAAATGGCTCATGCCGCTGGCTCCCCATTTTCCCCATTTCCAACTTTCCCTCCCTAAATTCCTTGTTTCCCTCCCCTACTCAAACAAATTGAAATCCCATTTAGAAAGTCTAATTTCCTGTCTCTCAAATCTGTACGAAGAAAATAAATTAAAGTTAGCAGCTTTAGGCCACATTTAGCTCCTCACACACTCAAGGAAGCAAACACACACCCCCTCACACACACACACACACGCGTACATATACATATGGGTTGCAGGAAGAGGAAGAAGGAAAGAGAGAGGACCTTTCGCTGGCTGTTATAATTTGAGTTTGTGCTTCTTCATTTTAATTAAATCATCAAAATCAATTTTGTAATTTCCATTCATGGCGCGCCATAATGAAAATCCCCCGTTCAATTCCGAAGGGGGGAAAGAGACGAAACGAGAGAGAGAGAGAGAGAGGAAGAGAGAGGGGGAGAAGAGAAAGCTTTCTCTCTCAGTCGAAAGGCAGGCAGGCGGGTGGCACGCCCACAAACATCATAATGACCTTTAACCAACACCACGCTCATTCACCCGAAAGTTGGCAAAATTGTCTGCTTTCATCTTTGGCTGTTGATGCTGCCGCCCAACCACCCAACCACCCAACCACCCAGCACTCTACCACCACCCCCTCCCCCTCCCCTCGTTTTGTCATGACATGGACCAAACTCAATTTTCCACCCCATAGACACAAATACAAACAGGCTCGCCCGCACACACACACACACATACACTCAGGCATCCCCATTTTCAGCCATTTTCAATTTTGCTACATTTAGCCGGTTGTGTCCTCAAACAGCTACGAACCACCCATTCCCATTCTCGTCCCCAGAACCACCCAAACCACCCACCTATCGAGCAGGCCTGCAGCAATTTGGCATTCATGTGGAGCACGCGACTCACCACAAGAACCCCCCATCCATGCCATCCCATCAGGCAACCACTTTTCAACTTTAATCTTTTTCATAAACTTCACATTGGCAGCAAACAATTTGCGACCTCCCCCCGAAAGCACCACCCGAGCCACCCGAAAAAACCCCCTTAAACATCATCATCTCGCTCTTCCTCTTCCTCTGGCTGTGTCATTCTACCATTTTCCTTGTCGTCTTCTTTAATTTTGTTCGCAGCAAAGTTTTGCCGTTTTATTGGAAAACTTCTGCCGCAAAGTGTCGTTCCACCCAAAAACGAAAAAAAAAGAAGAAGCGAGTAGGAAGGTATAGCTCCACATAGATGTAGAAGTAACTCACACAGCATACAAGGCGTATACGCAATGTTCGCTCTATCCCTTTCTCTCTTGCTCGCTCTCTCTTGCTCTCTCTATCCCTCGCCGCTAGATTCAGCCCTCTCTTTCACTCGCTGTGTGGCAGAAATTGCTTTTCGAATGTTTCTGACAGTTTGCAAATTGGAAAATTGACTTTTAACACACAAGAGCTTCAGCAGCTTAATAAAACTGTTTGCAACTTGTAGAGGAAGGGGATGGGGGAATTGAGGGGTGGGGAGGGGGTGGTTAGGCGGGGGGTGGTTCAATTGTTGCAGTTCGACTTGATGTTACACAGAGCTTGTTGTTGGATTATTCATACTTCCGTTTTTGGTAGGTTGTTCGGGTTTGCGGCGAGGGAAACTGGCCAAATTATTTCTCAAAACCTTTCCTTGGGATTGACCAGGATTTTACTGAGAATGGTAGCCGAAGGAAATGCCAGATTTGTTTGAAGCCTCTTACGGAAAAGACCCAATAAATGTGAATTCAAAACCTCAACTCACCCCCGGAAATTGCAGACTAAGATAAAAATGGAATTTTGGTTTTGTGAAATGATAACAAATAAAATTAAAATTTTATTGAAAATATGTAAGTAAATATATAAGCAGAAGATTTGTCATACAAAAAGAATAACATAGTTTATGTCTCAAAATATGAATGTAATATAAGGATATAACCTTTTATACATCAGAAGTTTCCAAACAAAACTCAAAGCTCAATCTAATATTTTGCTACATAAATACTTTTAAACTCACTCAAAGTAATAATACAAGAAAATTCAATTTGAGTAAATGTAAAAAGTATAAATTTCACAAAACGAGGTATATAGTTAAATACTGATTTATGAGTGGAGAGGGTAAAACGTTTCGATATCTTCCATCTCTCCCATTGGGGGGCACTGGGAATCAGCTCGAGCGATCTACTTACAACACTCTGCTACCTTCGGCAAATTCATTATGCCGGGCAACAGGACTATTATTATCCCAGCGCCGCCCCGTTTGTCATGCAATTCAATCAAATTGATTGAAAACTCGATGCCATCGAATGCACTTCGCATTTGTTTTGGGCTGGTCCTCGTTGGCGATAGGCGAGCTAATTGCATGGAAGCGAAAATGCGGCCCAGCATGTCCTGCAATTAGAGAAACGACCCTAGGGGCAGCGGTTCAGAAAGTCGGGGCAGGACATCCCGTTGCGTTCAAGGATATTGATAGCGGCGCCTAAGGTAATAACCCAAATGCAAACTGCATGGGAACCCCGGCCGCTCCTCGCGCAAGCTTTAATTCAATTAAAAATCCTCAAACCGAATCCCGGCAAAGGGGAGCCTAATTATAGGGCTGTCCCGGTTTCCAGACAGCGACAGACACGAATTCTGAGTTCTGTTCAGAACTCAATTCTTTCAGCGGCTGTCATAATTCCAGGTCGAACTTGGAGGGACAAAGCCACAGCGTGGAGTCCGCTTGCCCTGCTAGTTTATGACATGTTTTTTCGTTCCATTGTTGGCTTTTAGTTCCGGCCCAGGACCCTCTGAAACTCTGAACGAGGAGTTCAAATCCAGGAGCAGAAGCAGAAGCAGAAGCAGAAGCTCGGGCATCCTGTTTCGGTTTCGGTCGCTTTGTGCGATTCACGACGAATTAGAGCAAAGACAAAAGCTTTGACGACGGCCACAATCCGCAAGATGTTTTAATTAGTTTAAGAGCCGACAAGCGTATTGATTTACACTCGATGCCGCCGTTCTTCGCTTCTTCGTAGAATTTGTGGTGAAGTGATGAGTTTGAAGTGGCATACTTATACTATATATTTAATATTATGTTTTAGTTAATAAAAACAACATTATGGTAAAAGCATATTCAATCTTTCAGTATATTGTTAAAGGGAAAATAAGTTACATTTCGCAATCTTTTAAGGGCTTCTAGGAAGTAAAAATCAAACGTTGACCTTTGAATCCCACACTATTAGCTTCGGCTTTTCAGCTTTTCACACTCTTCGCACCACTGCTAATTGCAGTCTTATTTTTCCGGCAAAAGCCCTGTAATCTAAGGCTAAACACGCGACAAATCTTGATTCCCTGACAGCCGCAGATTCGAGCAGCGACTCCGCCTCGAATGTCGCCATGAGAAAAGTTGAGAAAATCACTCCGAGCTCTCAATCCGACACCCACTCGATCAGGACTCGGGTTTCCTTT